CCCCCCCCAACATTACATATACATATCATTTATATCATTTCATATAATTTAGTTATATAATTTCATATACATATAAGCATTTTCATGCATACTATATATATATATATATATATATATGTGTGTGTGTCTGTGTGTACACGGTCACTCACCCCAACCAATGTAGTATAATTTCACAAAGCTAGTCAGAACATTCTGTTTTTGCTTCAAATTGGGTTATTATTAAATCAAATTATAATATGTATATGAATGATATAACTAAAATTAAATAACTGTAATTACAGATTTAGGTTAAATAAAGATGTCAGTCTTTATTTTTCTTCTTTTAGGAAACAAATCAAAGAAAAATAAACAAATTCTACTGTTCCTAATAATCTGTATGTTACTCAAAAACAAAATATATTGTGTTCAGCGGAAAAAAGTGTTTTTTTTGTTTTTTTTTTACCCAGTCATTTAAAAATAACACATTTTAGAGCTGTAACGACAATACCGTGATACCGTGAAACCGTGATATTTTTGCTTACGGTTATCATACCATCAAAATCTCATACCGGCCCATGCCTACTGGCAAGTGACTGGTTTTATGTTTTTTTTTACATATAATATTTTTTATATATTTAATAACATTTATTCTTAATAAATACATAAATAAATAAAAATGTACATAAATGAATAATTTAAAATGATATTATAATAGATATATATATTAATTCACATTTTACATCTAAAAACTTGTGGTGTCAGTCGATTAAAAATAATTAACTAATTAATCACACATTTTTTTCTGAAATTAATCTTGATTAATCCCACCTAACATTAAACTTTTTAATTGTACTTTTATATTGCAATAATTTCAAATTCAATCTTCAAATTAATGTAGAAACAATATAAAGAAAATATATTTTTAATATTTGCTTAATGCCATCTTTTTTATGACTGAAGGCAAGTATCACTGATGTCCAACTGATGTCTCTATGAATTTTTTCCTAATATTTAACCATTGACTATAGCCATTCAACATTACAGTATATTTGAGAGCTATCAATTTAACATTTATTAGACTTTAAAAAATAACTTATAATTTAAGTGAACTTAAAAGAATCTTCACATAAACCCATTATAATAAATGTCATATAGCTACCTGAAATACATGAATTCTAAATTAAATAAAGATTAAAACTACAGAAGTTATTGATTTCCTCTTTTTTATTTTGTTATTTGAATAACAGACATCTCGGCAGCTGGTTATTTGAATATTTTGGCTGCTACTTTAAGAGCTGCCGCTGCTGAACTTGATGCGGGTCTGATACTGCTTTAAATGTGACTCATAAATAATGAATACTTACATGCACAGTTTTAAGGCAGCTTTAATTGCCTTTTTTTGTAACCTCATAACTTAACTAACGTCATAACTAAGACATTGCATACTCGTAGTTTCATTTGGGTTTGAATATGATACAGCGCTTTAATATAGCCTAATACAGTGCACGGCAGCACATTAGTGCATGCTCTTGAAGAGCACACGTTACGAGCACAGTATAACAACGAAGATTCGTTTTTACTGACATATGGCCTGACAACATCTCATCTGAATGCAGTTCACCGTTGTTCTACTGAAACTCCTAAGTATAAATGTGTATAGAACTTCTAAGAGAACAACTTTTGTTATGTTGAGATACCGAGAAAAATAAGTCGTGATCACGAGAAAACAACTCTTGTTATGTCGTGATCACGAGAAAATTAAGTCGTGATCACAAGAAAACAACTCGTTATGTCGAGATCACGCGAAAATTAAGTCGTGATCACGAGAAAACCAGAAGGAAAAAATAATAATGCATGGCCGCTTAGAACTTCCGTAAAAATGTTTATATTACAAATATAAACAATATTTATATTACAGAACCAATTTCTAACCCTGATATCATGAAAATCATTCGTACATTCAAAGCATTTTTTGAAATGTATTCGGGCTGAATAAGAACCCGTTCTCGATTCCCAACCCCACGTGGGCCGTGTGCTGTAAAAGCGAGAGTATCTGTCAGTGGTTAATGTCAGCTCTGATTAGGCCGGTCCCGGGACAGCATGCGGTCTGTAATGAGGGCCGGAGATTTATACCTGCAGATCAGCAGGGCGCAACAGACACTCGGGCAGAGGACACAGTCAAGCGAGCAGCGCCTGGCACTCATACCAGTCCGCTCGTCATCCAAATAACAAGATTAAGAGAGCAATGCACCAAAAGATTCACGAACGGAGAGATCAGCTAAAGACAGAGGAGAGGAAAGGTCACGAGAGAGAGGAAGCTGTAGACAGAGACAAATTAATAGGGATGAAACAACACATGATCAGTTGAAGGTGTGATTTACCTGTCCTTAAATGTCACGCTTTATAGCCAGACAAAAGCTGCAATTTGGACTTGACGTTGCACTTAGCAAATTTAGACATGAATGCTTGATTTTCTCATGCTTTTTTGTATACAACCATCTTTTTTATCTATAATAACCATGCTATAAAACAGAATAGTTTATAGCATGACTTAATTACAGTTTTATTTTGTCTGGGTTTTCCATGGCTATGGAAACCTAATAAAAAAACTTCAAAAACCAGCTTATATTTTAAATTACAATTAAACAAATACAATTATTTTAAACATTAAGTAAAATAAAAACTAAAAATTAAAATAAAAAATACAAAATGCTGACGTTTACAGTATATTATCAACTTTGAAAAAACAAATAAAAAATAAACAATATAAATTATTTATTAAGCTGCAGTTTTAAAGGCTTAATAAAAGCACTTACATTACTAGCTTAAATACATAAATAAATAAATACATACCATATTAAGACTGGCTGGTAATAAAAAAATAAAAAAATAAAATAAAAACGTATTTATTAAGTTCCAATTTTAAATACGAAAGCACTTATATTATCATAATCATTAAATACTATATTAAGACTGGGTGGACTGGGTGTATACATACATACATATCTTAATATAGTATTTCATGATTATATTATCTTAAAAAAATATTTATCACGCTCCAGTTAGAAATGCTTCCAGCACTTATAATTATCAAAAAACATGGTTAAATAACATAATCATTAAATTCTATATTAAGACTGGGAATATTATTTTATAAATAAAATAAAAAATATTAAAAATAATAAAAAATTAAATAATAATAAAAAATTTGAATAATAAAAAACATTTATTACAATGGGATGTCTTTTTGTCATTTTTTGTATGCAAATTACATGTGAATGCTTTTTTTGTATGCAAAACCGGATACATTTTCATAAGAAATATTTAAAATTGATATATTTCCAAGATTTTTCAAGCTGCTTTTTAAAAATGTGTGCTTAGTACGTCTGCAAGGCCATACATTTAAACCGTCAAATCTTCAAGGGTTGGGAATTTAACCCACGGCTTGGCTTGGCTTATTAATATAAATTAGTTTAGTGCCGTCCAGGAAGGTAACTTAGCACAGTCAGCTAACTATAATTATGTCATGATGTCAACTCTATGCTCAGAGTCACGTGATGAACACCTTACCGTGACTGTTACAGCGTGAAGTCGCCACAAGCCTGTTGTCCTGGTCGTAGCACACCATGACCTGGTAGCGGTAGCCCTGTCCACACTCCTTCACGTCTCCCTGCACCTTCATGCCTGCGGCGTTCTCCACGCGGCCCTCGGGCAGGATGCAATCAGACCAGTTTCCCACCGACTGGGCGCTGTATTTGTCACAGGGGCAGTACTGGGTCTCGCTCAGCGGGTACATCTGGCTGTTCTTACACTTGTCCTTCTTCTTGCTTTTTCCTGTAATCAGAGGAAGTAAGTGTTGATTACGGCACTAATTAAGCTCACTAATGAATGAGTCATGAGCGCTGAGGTCACCTCTAAACCTCCCGACTGCCTCAGATCCACCGTGTCTTGCAGCTGCATGACTGGCTGGACTAATACTTACCAAAATTATAATCATATTACCATGATTTTTGGACATGATATGAGGCAATAACATGCTGTGCTTTATCATGGTAATACCTCAGGCTGGGTTATATATCTAATATTCATGAATGAGATTTTTGTTGCCAATATATGATTAATTCATTATTTTTCATATTTTAAATGTTATTGTAAAAATAAACACAGGTTTATTAGATACCACTCACATTTTCTTCAGAAAATGTAGTTATGTATTGTTATATTGGTGTATATAAATAAAAGGGATTGAATAAATTATAATACTCTACAGATGAAAAGTCTGAAGTCAATATATTTTTTGACAGAAATTAATACTTTTATTCAGCAAGGACACGTTAAATTGATCAAGTGCCAATTAAGATATTTATAAAGTTACAAAAGATTTCTATTTCAAATAAATGCTGTTCTTTTAAACGACCCAAAAATTAATAAATCAATAAATAAAACTATCCAAATCCGATATTGTACGCCTACTATTCTGTGTTATTGTCATGATTTTTCTAGATTAACGTTTGCTGCTAAATTATCCACTAACCTAGTTTATAATAGTATTTTTGTCATAGATTATGATCAAATATATTTTTCATTTGTTATTTTTCATTAAAATGAAGTTGTCTGTATTTAGCAGATTGTGTTCAACACACAAAAGATTGACGATCAGGTCATCAAAGTAGTATATAAATTCTACAATGCCTAGTTGAGAAAAACTGCGCTGGTATTGGATCGTATCGGTATCGGCCAATAGAATTTTCTGGATTGAATCAGATCGGCTCTGAAAAAATGGTATCGTTGTATCCCTAGTTTTTGCTATTTTAGTACATCAGGTTGAACTACATTAAAATGCGAAATGTTGCATTGGCAATGAGTTATAATAAAAAATATATTTTATTTTATTTTACATCTACTTAGTCATTTATTTATTTACCTATTTATTTATTTATTTTACGTTTAGTTTCAGTTTTAGTTTACTAAAATAACTTCACCTTGGTCAGCCTAAGAGATTTCTTTAAAAAGTGTATATAAAAAATGTTTCAACATTTTTTTTTACTGAATTTTAACCTTTTAAACAATTGTATAAATATCATGAATATTGATATAAAAAAGTGTATTGCCCAACCCAATAAACACACTTAAGTATTTTATGGCCTATGATAAAGTGAAGTATATCAGATTATATATAATGGAATATATCCATATGCATCCAATAATGCCTTGAATCTTGTACTAGAAGTCATTTAGCATTTAGTAGAAATACCTCACTCCATTCTGGGATGGAACCAGCAACCTTCTGAGTTCAAACCACAGTGTTAATGATGCATATGTCCTAATTACCCATGAGAGCTCTCCTCCGCGTACGGACCCCTACGCAGTCCGAGGTGCAAGGAGAGAACTTGGACCAGTTGGTGAGCTGGCAGTCGTCTCGGCACGGTAACTGGCAGGGCTGGCTCATAACCGGCATGCTGCTGGCAAACTTCAGACACTGAACCACATCAGCCACTGTACCATCCAGCTGCCTACACGAGATAGCTGCAGATCACACACACAAACACAGCGCTGAGACTCCTGCTGATTACACAGAGCACCAGACACCAGAGAGAAAAGGTGCAGGTGAACAGAAGATGCTTATTTATAGAAATGACAAGTGAGAGAGAGTCGTGCTGTTCACTTTGATCAGAAACCAGTTTAAATTATGCATTACATTTCTGTAGTTTTTATATAATCCAATGATTTTTTTCCATCTGTTCTGGATTATTATTATTATTATTATTATAAGCACATTTTATAGATATTCTTGCGGTATTTCTGTGTAATTCTGTGTAAGACAATATCTAGCCATATCTTTATTTTATAGCATAGCATAACCATTTATATTCACTGTAGAATTTTAAAATATATAAAAAGCTATGGGTCCTACTCGTCATGCTTGTCATGTGACACACAGCAAAATATATGACTGATATAGGCTTATGTTTTGTTTTATCTTATTTTTTCCTTTTTATTCGAAATATTTCCAAACGTGTTAACTATTTCATCTCCACCATGCTTACAATGTATTGAGCTTAATCAAGTCTCTCACCCGCATGCTGGAGCGCCGTAGCTTCTTGCGCACATCCCGACGGATATCATTGACAGCAACAGATTCTAAATGTTGATAGCGCTGGATTTCCTGGTTTATGGTGCCTTCACTTGCTCCCAGTTTCCTTAGAGATAGAGAGAAAAAAATCAAGAATTATAGGGATTTCTTTTAGGCAGAAAACAACAGATTGAGATATATTATTAGTCAGGTTGACATTACTTGAGATCGTCAATGACTTTGGCCTGCTCATTGAGTTCTCTAATATCCACCAAGCGCTTGGAGAACTTCCGTCCACGAGCATCGATGATTTGATTGCTCATGACTGCCTGTCTGCGCAGGTCAACAGATTCCTGTAAGAGGAAAATGACTGTCAAAATAATACATTTAAGATACAAGATGCACTTAGGGGTGGGCGGAATAACAAAATCTTTTCTTATCATGGTATGAGTAATTCAAAACGATTATTTTATTTTATGTATGTATGTGTATATATATATATATATATGTCATTTAAAATGCTGATAACATTTTTTTTTTATGTTAATCTTTTTGAATGTAATTATACTTATGTCCAATAACATTAATATTCACTATAGAAGTTTTCATTACTTTTAATATTTTATTCATTTCCATACTTTTTCCGGGGGTAAAAATGACAATTTTTTTTCTCCCCATGGCTTCTATAACTGTGCAAATCTGATAATAAAGTTTATTCAAAATAAAAAGGGAAAGTACATTAAACTCACTGATACAGAAAAAAATAGACAATACAGAGAGCATTATGTACATTTATGTAAAATACAAAACAAAATAATATAAAATAAAATAACACATTATTGCTAAAATTTTAAATGCTTCATGCACTGACATTATCAGCTTTAAAAAGCTTTTTTTTTTATTAAAAATGATTAATTATATTTAAATAATGTAATGATTAAATACTATATTAGGAATGGCTGGTACAAAATAAAATAAAATAAAATGAAATAAAATATATTTATTAGCTTAGTATTTGCACCACTATTAAGCTTGATGACAATTTTTTTTCTCCCCATGGCTTCTATAACTGTGCAAATCTGATAATAAAGTTTATTCAAAATAAAAAGGGAAAGTACATTAAACTCACTGATACAGAAAAAAATAGACAATACAGAGAGCATTATGTACATTTATGTAAAATACAAAACAAAATAATATAAAATAAAATAACACATTATTGCTAAAATTTTAAATGCTTCATGCACTGACATTATCAGCTTTAAAAAGCTTTTTTTTTTATTAAAAATGATTAATTATATTTAAATAATGTAATGATTAAATACTATATTAGGAATGGCTGGTACAAAATAAAATAAAATAAAATGAAATAAAATATATTTATTAGCTTAGTATTTGCACCACTATTAAGCTTGTCACCATAACTCAGTTTAATCTATTAATAAACAGTTACAATATCTCACTTATGTGTTCAACATGAGTGGTTCAGAAAGCTACTACATCTGTAAAGACAGGCCTGTTAAGCTGTTGTCATTTTGGTGAAGCTGTGTAATCTATTAAGACGCAGTCACATTGGTAGTGACGTGAAGATGAGTAAACAGGAACCATTAGGTCAAACTTTAGGCCACTACAGAGTTCAATAGAGTGATAACGCCAACACAACAACGTCCTTCCGTACTGTCAAGAGCAATCAGACCAAGAGTTTGAAGGATTGCTTCTGCTCCTGACATGCACTGAAGGGCAAATGTGAAGTCTAGTGTGATGGAAGCCCTTGTCAGACCAGTATCTATACCAGGATAATACGTAATAAAGTCTTTCACGGCCTCAAGAGTGACAGGAATCTCTAAAAGAACTGGACAAATAAAGAAAAGAGCACCTAAAACAATTATGAAAACACTTTGTCAACTTCAACTGGAAAACTGAAAATAATAATACATTTTTGAAAGCGACAGACTCTGAGGAATAAAGCAGAACGCAAATGAGAGAAAAGCAATCCACAGATTCAAGAGGAGATCTTAGATCAGATATTATACCAAATTTATGGCTGTTGCATAAGATTTCACAGCTACAGAAACGTATTTGGACAGTGTGGCCGGAAATCACTAAGAATAAATTGTGCACACTCTGCCTGAGTTGCTTTAGCATCCGATTAAAGGAATTATGCAAATACGCACAAATTCTGTGTAGAATGCATTTTGCGCACTGTAATTCTCGACTGCAGGCGGCTAGTGAATAAGACACAGGTTATGCAGGAATACTGTTTAGTGAATGTGAGTGTGTAACATGACAGCTGACGTACCTCTAGTTTGGACTCCAGCTCCACAGTTCTCCTGAGCTCCTTTACTGTCTCTGCGGATGCTCCATGGGACCAGCTGACATTTACGCCACTTGTGCGTTTTCCACCTGCAATTTCAAAGCGATATCATATTTATTTGTAAAGGTTGATCAGTTACTGCACTGGAAATCCTAATTAGCTGCCTTAACTTGAAAAAATATCAGGAAACCCAATGTCTTGGAAAATGAACTCATTTGAATTAAGCTGCCCACAATCTGATAACATCTTTTCATCAGGATTAACCATTTCACTACCGAACAGAAAAAAGCTGCATACAGGTTTTGAATGCTAAGCGGTTGAGCAAATGATGACAGAATCTTCATTCTGGGGTGAACTATTTCTATAAGTGAACATATCTTTATTTACTCGAGAAGGTCATTTTTAGCAAAAATCTATCCTGAATGTCAATAAATGTGAAATCCAGCACAGAATAGCTGATAGTGCAGAGGCAGCTCTTGTGGGTGAAGGTGTACCTGTAACCCGGACAGACAGATGGAGTCGCACAGTCTTTCTCTTCATAAAGGACGTCTGGACACTCCTGACCTCCATTAGCTGGCATCTGGATGATCACTCGATAGCGAAACTGTTTATTCTTCTGCCCATTCACACCTGTCGTTTTAAAAACTAATTTAATATCATGACAAATTCTACTAGATAGATAGAGTCGTTAGACATAACGAATGATGGGTAGATGGATATAACAATGGACAGAATGAACAATTGACAGATACAATGAACAAATCACAGATATAACAATTCAAATGATAGATGGATAGAACAAGATACAGATAGAACAATAGAAAGAATGACCAAATGACAGATAAAAATAGAACAAACGATAAACGGATAAATATAAGGAATAATGGGTAGATAAATATAACGATAGATGTAACAAATGAACAAATGATAGATAGATAAATAGATGGATAGATAGACAGATAGAACAACTGAAAGAATGATGACAGACAGACAGACAGACAGACACAGATAGATAGATAGATAGATAGATAGATAGACAGACACAAATAGATAGATAGATAGACAGACAGACAGACAGATAGGTAGATAGATAGATAGATAGA